AAGGAATTGTTGTAGCAGCACAAGCTCCCAGAAGGAATGCAGAGAACGTTGCAGCACGGTGGGAGATGCAAGCACAACGTCTTGAGGCTCATGTGGAGCAAATTTTTGATGGTCTGGATGATGCTGACGGTGCTGAGGATGTACCCTTTGATGAACTTGTGGGCATGCAGGGTCCAGTTTTCCATCTGGTTGAAAATGCCTTTACTGTAAGTGTCTTATTTTTCTCCCCTTTTTATGTTAATGTTGATCATTTTCTTTAAATGAAAAGGGCTTGCTGATCTGGACAATTTAAGCTCACAGAAAAATACTATATCCTTACCATGCTCAACCTTGTTTCTGAGAAAGTGTAATTCTGATCCTGAGTTGCTGCTAGTTTTCCTGCTTGGTCTTTCAACGTTAGGATGGAAGCAGGTATTGCTGGAGTAATGAATACAGTGAAGGTTAAAGACGATCCTCATTTATGTGGATGAAAGTGGTGCATGCCAGCATCTATAATGACAACAATTCCATTGCAACTTTGACAACTTATTATGTTATTTTATTCTCACATATTTATTAATACTGTTCATAGCAGTAACGTGACTTATTTAAGAGGCCATTGTGGCTTTTTGGTTTCAATCTTGCTAAAATTTATTTTGGTCTGAGCTTTGATTTTCAAGCAAAGCACTAGTAGTTCTTTTTCTACTATTGATTTCCTTATTGTAATTATTCATGCTATTCACACTACACTACAGTTTCTTTAATATTGCAATTTGTGTCTTGTTTCTGTTAACATAGTTTGAAAATAATCTAAACTTGCTTTTAGGCACTTCTTATTCAAATATTAAATGGTTCATTCTCTATGCAGGTTCTGGCAAGCAATATGATATTCCTTGGTGCTGTGATCTTTGTGCCCTTCTCATTGGGCCGCATTGTACTCCATTATCTATCTTGGTTTTTTTCAACTGCCAGTGGTCCTGTATTATCAACTGTTATTCCACTTACAGACACAGCTCTCTCCCTAGCAAATATTACATTAAAAAATGCATTAACTGCGGTTAGAAATTTGTCATCTGAAGCTCAAGAAAGTGGACTGATAGGCCAGGTTGCTGAAATGTTGAAATTCAATGCAAGTGGCTTAAGTGAAATGTCTAAAAACATCAGTGACAATGTTTCAGCTGATCTCTTGAAAGGAGGGTCACTTGGAACTTCAAGGCTTTCTGATGTTACCACTCTAGCTATTGGATATATGTTCATACTCGCTCTACTCTTGTGCTACTTTGGCATTGTTGCTTTGATTCGATACACAAGGGGTGAGCCTTTAATAATGGGAAGGTTCTACGGTATTGTTTCTGTAGCAGAGACAATTCCCTCTCTATTCAGACAGTTTTTGGCAGCAATGAGGCATTTGATGACCATGGTTAAGGTTGCTTTCCTTCTAGTTATTGAATTGGGGGTATTTCCATTGATGTGTGGATGGTGGCTAGATGTTTGTACCATCAGGATGTTTGGGAAGACAATGGCTCACAGAGTTCAGTTTTTCTCTGCTTCTCCTCTGGCAAGTTCATTGGTTCATTGGGTTGTAGGGATTGTCTACATGCTACAAATTAGCATATTTGTCAGCCTTCTTAGAGGGGTATCTTTTTCTCCCCCAATTTTTTGTTACACGGCAATATTCTTAAGGCCCTGGTTTCATTTATATTTCTTGTTTTAACGATGTTCACTGCCAATGGCAGGTTTTGCGCAGTGGAGTTCTATACTTCCTTCGAGATCCTGCTGATCCCAACTACAATCCTTTCCGTGATTTAATTGATGACCCTGTTCACAAACATGCTCGTAGGGTTCTGTTATCTGTTGCAGTTTATGGAAGTTTAATTGTGATGCTTGTATTTTTACCTGTTAAACTTGCTATGCGAATGGCTCCTTCCATTTTCCCACTTGACATATCGTAAGCTGGCCCCTTAGCTTTTTTAATTGATACTATGGATTAAATAGAAGCTTAGTCATAATTTCTAACGTCCAATGTGTATCATTGCAGGGTATCTGATCCATTCACTGAAATTCCAGCTGACATGCTTCTCTTTCAGATTTGTATCCCATTTGCTATTGAGCATTTTAAACTGAGGACAACTATTAAGTCCCTTCTGCGCTACTGGTTTACAGCAGTTGGTTGGGCACTTGGTTTAACCGATTTTTTACTTCCTAGACCTGATGATAATGGTGCTCAAGAAAATATGAATGGGGAGCCAGCTAGGCAGGACAGGCTACAGGTTGTACCAGGAGGGGTACCTGACCAGGGAATGGTGGCCTTTGCAGGCAATGAAATCAACAGGGGACTTGGATCGGGAGACTTGAATGTTGGGGATGACTTTGAAATTGATGAACAATCTGATTCTGAGTGAGTCCTTGACTTGGTTGAACAATCTGATTCACCTGTTTCTTCATGTACTTTTTAGTTGTTGCTGGTTTTGGTCATCAGTTTCTTTGTTCTCATATTGTGGCTATTTCTGTGACCATCTAATTCAGTATACTAACTGTGACTTTAGCAGTTACGGTTTTGTGCTTCGCATTGTACTGTTGCTGGTGGTTGCTTGGATGACTTTACTTGTGTTCAATTCTGCCCTGATAGTTGTACCAATTTCACTTGGGCGGGCACTTTTCAATTCCATTCCTCTTCTCCCAATCACTCATGGCATTAAGTGCAATGGTATGTAGATGATTGATTTTCTTTTCATTGGGTCAGCGTTGGATGAGTTTGTTATTTTATTTCCTTTTGATAGATTTATATGCTTTCATCATGGGAAGCTATGTCATCTGGACGGCTGTTGCTGGAGCTAGATACTCAATTGAACAAATTAGAAAGAGGAGGGTTTGTAGTTTGTTGAGCCAAATTTCCAAGTGGTGTGCAATTGTTATCAAGAGTTCCGCTCTTTTGTCTATATGGGTAAGAATGATTCTGGTAACTGTTTCTATTACCTAGCTTCTGCTTAGGTTTGTATCAACATAATGATCAAATCTTGCATGTTGTTTTTTTTTTCCAGATATTTGTCATTCCTGTGCTAATTGGGCTCCTCTTTGAACTTTTGGTTATTGTACCAATGAGAGTTCCGGTGGATGAAAGTCCAGTGTTCCTCCTCTATCAAGACTGGGCTTTAGGGCTTATTTTCCTTAAAATATGGACTAGATTGGTAAGTTTCTCTCTATGCGGCCCCTTTTGTAGATAGTAGTATATGGTAAATTTGCTTTATTATTTCAGGAAAAATAAATTCATTTAAATATAAATTTACTTTTATTCTCCCAAAAATGTTGTTCATGAACTATTGGCAGTTGAAAACTCCCCTCCCCCTAAATTCAGAGTAAGAGGGTTTTACAAAATATTGTCTTCTATTATAGTCAAGTAATTAAGACTAACGGGTCTTCTCTGTTTTCTATTCATAGAACTTAAGATCCTTTGGGAAGTGAATTTGATCTCATAGTCTACTGTTTGGCTATCGAACAAATAGGATCTTTGGGTGGATGGGATCTCTTGGTAAATACTCCCTCCCGTATATATTTCGGGCATCTTCTAGACGGAATGGGTGGTCATATACGTTAGTCACTAGTAGTATTAAATTTTTTTAAAGGATTGCCTCCTCTTCTAATTTACCAAGAATACATATTGCCTTCTAATTTACCCAGAATGCATTTAAAGTGTGATGAAGTGTTTGAGATATTTAATTTATGGTTTTAAATAGAGCAAATTTGGAATTCTTCTGTCATTTACAAGCAAAATTAATAACTTATCAACTCTACTTGTTCCAGTGAGGTAATTATAGTTGGCTTGTAATAAAGGACATGCAAGAATATTATATTTGAGGAGTTAGTTGCTGATAGAACAAATCTAACTAATCGCACTTAGTGGGATATCACCTCTTGTTGTTTTCTACCCTTTGGCCATCACTTCCTTGTAGGATGTACTTCGATTCATCGAACCATTTATGAAAAGTTGGATTACATTGAATCTGTTCCTTAGAAAAACTATGTACTGGGATGTCATCCTGGTTGCTTTTTGTTGACCCTGTCTTTTTTTGTGACATTGGTTTTTCGCATTTTATATATAGGCTAGTTGACTTATTTCCCATTACTTTTTTTTGGGCTTGATTTTCCCATAGGTTATGTTGGACCACATGATGCCCCTCGTGGATGAAAGCTGGCGAGTAAAATTTGAGAGGGTGAGGGAAGATGGTTTCTCCAGGTTGCAAGGTCTTTGGGTCCTGAGGGAGATTGTGCTTCCCATCATAATGAAACTGTTGACAGCACTATGTGTTCCGTATGTTTTAGCCAGAGGAGTGTTTCCCGTGTTCGGGTACCCATTGGTGATAAATTCTGCTGTATATCGGTTTGCCTGGCTGGGATGCCTCTCTGTCAGCCTTTTGTGCTTCTGTGCCAAGCGATTCCATGTCTGGTTCACAAACCTCCATAATTCAATACGTGATGATCGGTATTTGATTGGTCGCCGGCTGCATAACTATGGAGAAGAAGTTAACAAGGCAAATGAAGCAGGAACCACGGGAACTGAGAATACTAACTCGCTCAGCACTGTTTTGATACCGCATGACCGTGAATTAGATGTTGGACTACGTCTGAGGCATGCAAATCGACAGGGTGGCTGAGTTACTTAGCTGTGGGATTGTATTTTAGGTCGAGGGCTAAGATTTTAGGTTTTGATCTCAGGGCCATTGAATCAGTGATGTATGTAATGCCTCTGGGTTTGGTAGTTGTATGCGCTTTTCCATGACCATTTAACTCTGCCCATAATGGTTTTGCATTTATGCTCGCAAGTCCCTAACATATTCTGCAAGTGCAGGTGCGGGTGCTGCATTAGATTTTTTGTAAGAATGCTTTAGGAAAATTTTATTCTAATGCTTGTCTTATCAGGTGCTATTTTTTTTTCCTTACCTCAGTTCTGGACTAAAATTTAATCTTGACAAGGCTTTTTGAACTACAGTGATATTAGATTAAACTAAACAAATAACAATCAATTACACAGTACCCGGAAAACATTCAATAAATGGTAAGTGATTTTGAAATTGAGACTACAAATCCATCCCGAAATTTCCCCAACCATATCTAGACAACTTAGCAATCGAGTTGTTGAGAAAAGTGAGATGTTTGTGTTTTGATGGCCGCTACGTTCCTATCTTCACAGCTTGAACTCACCAAAATTATTAACTTGATGCCCATCAAACGGCAATCCAAGCAACAAGGCATCAAATTATGAAAAGCATAAATGAAATCGTTGACAGGGATCCTCCAATCGAAGGGGATGATGAATGATAAGAGACCAAAAGCTAGCAGCACCTACTGCGGTGCACAAACTCAACCTGAAAACTGAGTCAACGCCAAGCCTACAACAACAATCCAACCGTCGCTAGTTTAGTGCCAAAACATGAAACTCTCAAGAAACAAGATTGTCATTAAGTGATAGTGACGCCAATTGATCCGCAGCTCCACCAGCTTGCTGCTGCTGAGCAACATTCCTCAGAACATCCATTGCCTCAGCCACCTTTGATTTCAGAGCCTCGGGTGATTCAAGCAAGTGCAGAACCTCAGGCTGATCCATCTCCAGAAGCATGCCTGTCACTTTTGCTGCATTATCAGGCTCCAACTGTTCCACAAGAGGGTAAAGGCTCTCACCCAGCATCTACAAAGAGTCAACAGCCAAAAGTGGGTGAGTTTAACTCTAATCAACCTATGGCTCACCTAAATAAAGAATAACTCGAGAGAAAAATGCCTACCGTTCTCTGCTGCTCTGGGGTAGCATTTGCCAGGGCAGAAGCCATAACCCCCATAGGTATTTGCTGGGGCAGTGTGGCATCACGAATCGGCATTCCACCAACATCATATGGGACAGAAAACATGCCTCCAGCAACACCTGGCATAGGAGCATCAGGCAGACCCCTGCCAGGAGGATATCGGTACACACGCCCCCTTGGAAGCATCTATCATTCCCAAAAAATGAGTTAACATGTCTCTAACAGGACAGTTGGTTTACAGGAATAAGAACACATGACAAAACTTTACCAACACTGACCTGCTGCTGCATCAGTGGAACTGGCTGCTGGCTCTGCTGGACTGCCCCTGCACGTCTTCCACCTGGACGCTGGCTCTGCTGTCCTTGCTGAACCATTGGCACAAAGAAATTTGGCATAGGACCACCTCCAGGCCTCATTCCAGGTACAAGTTGTTGTTGATACCCAAATCCAGGCTGATCCGATAGCCAGGTAAGACGAGTTCAGAACAGTGATAAATAAGATGAGTAGCAGGCAAGCAGAAAACAATAAGATGAGTTGTGGGAGTAGAAAATTCCAGGTCACAAGATAAGTTGACCATGTTGAAGTGTAGGTAGAATAGAAACAGCAAAAAAGGAATTACCTGGGAAGGAATGATAGCAGGAGGGCCTTGACCATAAAATATTTGTTGCCCAATACCTGGACCACCAGGGGGGTACATTGGGACACGGGGAGCTACAGATGGTGCCATTGCAACAGGCCTCATTTGTGCAAATTGAGCCTGAATTTAAAAAATTGATCGTCAGTAGTCAGACATATTCAGTAACCTAGTAACTACAAACCTCAACATAGCTAGATCATCAAATTGATCATGCAACAAGATCCAACACGCCAAAATTCATGTCTCTTGTACCAGTTCACAGACAATGAGGATTTTCATCAGGAACATACATGAAGCAGGTAAGAAAAACCCAACAAACTACCCATTTCTTCTAATCTATACTCAAATCATATGATCTGACTGAAAAAGGGAAAAACACAAATCCCATGTGATCATTATGCGTTCGGATAAACTGAAAAAGTTTAGAAGCATTTCTACACATTTCAACTTCAAATTATTATAAAAGATTCATTAATGCATAGCTATGGATGAATCACATAAAAGATAACTCAACTCCACAAAACACATACCTGCAGTCTAGCTCTTCTATCTTCTTTACGTTGAGCTAAAGCAACATATAGAGGTTTGCTTACAACCATTTTACCATTCATCTCCAAAAGCTACAAAATAAGGAGAGAAAATAAATAAATAAAAACCATTTTCTAACTAGTAAGAAAATCACCTTCCAACATATAAAATATTATATTGACTTACAGCTCTTGAAGCCTCTTCAGGAGTCGTGAAAGCAACAAACCCTGATCCCCGGCTTATCCCATTGGGGTCTCTCATAACCTATCAAGTCAAATGGAGAATTTAGTGACTCCACAAGTCAAGAGTTGTGTGAAACCAATAAAGATCCTGCATACCTTGCATGAGGTAATGTTACCAAATGGAGAGAAGAGCTCCCTAAGTTTATCATCGCCAATGCTATCATCCAAATTTTTAACATACAAGTTAGCCCCTTGATATTTATCAGCGGCTTCTTTCATGGCCTGTTCAAATTGAAGTTTCAATTCAAGCTCCCTTTCAGATTTCTTTTGAGCTTTTCCAACATACCATTCCTTGTCATCAATTTTCTTCCCATTAAGAGAATCAACAGCCCTAGCAGCAGCAGCAGCATTCTCAAAGTTCACAAAACCAAAGCACTTAGATTTTCCATCTGCATCTCTCATAACTACAGCACTTGTAATTGTTCCAAATTCACCAAAAATTCTCTTTAAATCTTCATCAGTGGTTGTCTCAGATAAATTCTTTACAAAAACGTTGTTAAATTTTGTTTTGTCAACAACACTTTCTCTCTCTTGCTTACGGAGAAAGGGTCCTACATACACCTGCTTGTCATTCAACAGCATACCATTCAGCTTCTCTATGGCCTTTTGAGCAGATTCCTCACTATCAAATTGCACAAAACCATAGCCCTTTGACTGGCCAGATGAATCTGTAGCTACTTTGCAAGAAAGGATATTCCCAAATGCAGAAAAGGTATCATGCAACGCTTTGTGGTCAATTGCCTTGTCCAGATTCTGCAATGACCCAGCAAAAATAGAAGAAAGCACTAACAAAGTCAGAACCCAACAAGACATTAAACAGATAACCACTTCAAGGGAAAAAAGAAGCCAAAACATGCGTACCTTAATAAATATATTTCCAGCCCCACTTCTTCGAATACTAGGATCACGATGTGAATACATAATACGGATGGGCTTGTTATTAAGAGGAGTGAAGTTCAGCAAATCCATTGCTCTGGCAGCTGTAGGCAAGTGATATAAAAGAAATGTTTATATAACAATTATAAACAGATTCACAGCAAAGATAAAACTGAGTTAAGCATTACACAGGTGTCAAAATTTGACTTTATCAGTTTCAAAAACAAACACCATAATGAGCTCGTCTAAATAAAGATCAAGCAAACTGCTAATAATTAGATACGAATCTCAAAGGTTATCGAGAGAAGATTGGTAACTTATAAAATCACGCCCAAATTGAAGATTAGGATTTCAATAGCAAACCTCTGCAGATGTTATTAATTATCCACTGGTTTCTATTTGCTTAGGTTTAAACTGCACAATAGTAGAGTAGCACATGCACCAGTCCTTCAACATGAGTTTGCAGCAACCATGTATGTAATGCTATATAATACACACTGATAGACTCGTTTTAGGTTTTAGATATAGAAGTGTGTGTGTGTATTTATGAAAAGAGTCTACAAACAAAAAGCACTAACCCTAAGCCTATTTCACAAGATCGCAAAAATAAATAAATAAATATACTAGTAAAACCATTCCTAGATCATAAATAATGAAGCCTTTAGGCATAGATGTCCATGAGACAACAAGAAACTAAGTTAGGAGTACTTAGTGTTGGGTCCAAGTTTCCTGGAGATACCTTATCCATTAAGACCTCCACAACATAGAAAAATTTGGATGTCTAGCTTTGTCTACAAGCCTAGACTGAAAATCATGCTACCAACAACCTCATAACAAAGAACTTTATTGCATTAAAAATGTCTCCTATACCATTCTTCTAAAGTCACAACTACCACATACACTGCAATTATTACAGCATCCAATTTTGCCCCCAAAAAATTGCATAATATCGTCTCTAGCTAATGTATCCCAATAAGCATCCATTCACTCAAACCAAGGTTACAACAAAGTCATCCAACTGGCAAGTGTCTTTCATGATCATAAAATATGCAGAACAAATTCTACACTTATCCAAACCAGCTAGATATGCAATAATAAAACTTTATCTACTCCCTCTGTCCAAAAATTTAAGTCATTCTTTGAAGGATTAAGTGTTAAAAAATGTAATACATTTTTAGTATTTCAAAGTGTAATTAACATATTATTTCCAAAAATACTCTTAATAAATAAATAACTTTATATTTATTTTTAAGTGAAATATCCTAATAAATAAAGGTAAATATGAAAAAATGGTGTTAGTTTGAAGACTGAAGACAATTAACTAATTTATTGGGTTGAAATTAGGTTAAAACTATCTTACATTTTTTAATTAGGGGAGTATAAGATAAATCAAGGTTTGTTCGACAAATGGTCAGGAAGCTTCTATCCTTGAGAGAACTCTCAGCTCCTTAAACAGGGTACTGAATATTAATTATTAATCATTAGCTTTTTTTAATTTTTTAACATGACAAATGGACCTTTTTAGGCCAATGAAATAGGACAAATGAACGAAGATCAATTGAGGAGTGCAGTCCAATTACTTGAAAAGATGAGATGTAATATGCACGACATTTTTACTCCAAAACTGCATCAATAGTCAATAATGAACAAGCAAACGATACCAGCACATCTTTGCTCATCAAGTAGGTCAAGAATGTGTCTTTTCAGTTTTCCCATCTAGGGATTCCATTATTCAATTTCCTATTCAGGTTTCAAACTTCACTAAAGCAACATGGCGTACTCACTAGCAATGGAAACCAATAGAATTAACCACAATTAAGATGAAGAATCCAGGTGCAATGTGCAAAGAATTATGATGCCCTCAATTATATAGAAGGATGCCTGAAGCTAATTCATTAAATTAATTTACTTTTCAACGAGCGTCATTCATTAAGAAAATAAATTCCAAAACCGGGAGGCAAATGTTCAAGCTCAGTGCTTCATAAGCCCTATGAAATATCAACTATTTATGCATCAAAAACTCCAGTACATCTATTGATTAACCAGAAGAAAGATTTTTGAAGACATCAATCAGACATCAAAGACAAGCACGACAAACAACTAACCTTCTGGCGCCGTGCTAAAATTGACATATCCATAACCAAGTGATCGCCGGCTGGTCAAATCCCTACAAACCCTAACGGAGACAACCTGACCAGCTTGGTTAAACAGATCGTAGAGATGCGATTCTGTAACGTTCACATCAAGATCTCCAACATAAAGCGACGTCGTCACGAACTGGTTTGCCCCGCCAGTTGCTGGAGCACCGTTAGCTCCTGGTATCACATTTTGAGGTGGAATCTGAACCTGAGCCATGTCAACCGACAACAACTAGACCGATGGACTTGCTAAATTCTTTCTTTTTTTCCCCAAAAATTTTTCAGTTTTCCCTTTTTTGCCTTTTTTTTTTCTATGGTTCTCTTCCCTCTCCTCTAGTTATTCAAAACAAAACGCACCCTAGGAAGAACAGACACCTGCGTAACTCAACGCAGTGAAGGAGATGAGTAAAAAAGGCACAAAGCCGATAGCTACAGAGGATATTTTCCTTTGGGATTTTTTAAGGAAAAGACGAAAAGAGCGAGGAGGAGAGGGAAGGGAGTGAAGGATAAATATGGTCGGAGATCCGACGATAAATTGAAGTGGCCACCAGCAGCGGTGGCGTGTGAGGATAACGAAACGGTTAAAAAATAAAACAAAGGAGGTTGTGCACCAGAGGGCAGGTTAAACTGCACTGAGAGAGAGGTTGTCAATGCAAGGAAGAGAAGTATATAGGGAAAACTGAAAAGGGAAGAAAGCGTGAACCCTAGCGCGCACAATCTGGCGAGGCCGATGTGAACCGTCCGATCTGAGATGCTTTGGGGCCCAGATGATGACGGCGCTCTCAGAACTTGGTGGCAATGTAAAGGTAAGTTAGAAATCCAACAGGCAATGACAGAGAATTTCACATATACTGTATGTGAGACAGAAAGCGGAAGGGTTTACATGTAGTTTGAATTTGAACTACGAGGTGAAGATTTCAAGATAAAAGTTGCGGATTAATTTAATCAGTTAATAAAGAAAAATTATCAGGTAAGTTATCTGGATGATTTATTTTGTTAAAATAAATAAATTTTATGAATAAATCATATCATCATTCAATTACAAATAAACATTTAAATTTAAATTTAAAAATGTAGAAACTTAAATGGATCAGAAAAAAATTAATTAATGATTATTTTATTATGATTATTTTATAAAACTATTATTCATAATTTTTGAAAATTTTAAATTTAAAATATTTTGTGATAAACATGTTACTTTAATATTTTAATATTATAAACATGCATAATTTACATTAAAAAAACATTGATGATAAGATAAAATTAACTCAGGAGCATGATATAGCGTGGAAATTAATTTGATGGATACGGTCAGTCGGATTGGATTGAATTTGAATTACATGCACTAATTATCAAGACAACACATAATTATCAATCATATGAATGTAGTTTAATGAATATATTGATAAAATATAATTTAAAAAGATTTAAAACTATAACAGCCCCAACTAGAAAAACCAAATCAGTGATGGAATAACGTCATAAGACCAATAAGATATTAGTATTTTAACTCAAACAAGTCCTTTTGTTTTACCATTGATAATTTGATAATAGAATATTTTACCTTATCTTATATTATAAGACAATTTTAAAATTATTCTGCTATTTCAGCGTACAAAACAACTTAACAAAAAAAATTTATTAATGATATTTTTTAAAAAAATATAACTTTTTTGCTATTGGTTTCTATATATTTTTAATATTTCTTGTCTCTACACTTTTATTTTTCATTGCTTTAGGTCTCTCTAAGATTTTTATACTTTATTCATGAAGGGACCTAAATCAATAAAAAAATAAAAAAATTATGAACCAAAAATACTAAAAAATATTTAAGGAATAATAGTAAAATGCAAGCAATGTACTTAATGTTATGTTTTTCTTATTTTTAATACTATCTTTCAAGAGAAAATTAAATGATTGTAGTATAATAATTCAGTATGTAAATTTAAAGTTATATTAAATGAATGATATTTTTAAATATTTATATTTTTATTTTAAAAAGATAAGTTTGTTAAATTTTTTTGGGCTGAAAAAGAGCCAATTTTATTACACATTATAAGGGTCATTTTTTGTAAGTATACTATTCCTTCTGTTTAAAAATATAAGATATTTTTAATTAAATTTTATCCTTAATAAAATAGTTATCTATTTTTTAACTAACTCTATTTTTTCATATTTATCCTTATTAAACACTCTACAATAAACATAAAATTACTATTAATAGAGACACTTTTGAAAAAAAAAAGCAATGATTAGACATCGAATGATTAAAAATGCCTTACATTTTTTAACATTTAACTCCTTAAAAAATATCTTATATTTTTAAATGGAAGGAGTATTATTAAGCTTTATTTAGCATTCTTACATCATAATGAATTTGTTTGTGATTTTTAAAAATTAGAAAAAACACGTTAGATTTTTTTTTTTTTTTGGGCGAGGCTTTTCTAAATTTATTAATGATAATGGACCGGCGTCGTTCTTTCCACGTTGACAGTTCACGTTTTGCTAATAACTTGATAATAATATACATAATTACATGTTTTATTATTTTTCTTGAAATATTTTAAATATTTGTTTTTTATTTTTCTTTCATTGCCAAAAATAGAAAATCTCAATTTTGGCAAATTTGTGGATTCAATTGATGACCGTTTAGTCTCCCGTTCATTTCACTTTAAAAATTTATAAAGATCTCCCCCAACATAAAAAATTAAGTTTTATCATTATATGGATTTTTCTTTTATTTTCAAAATTCAATTCTGCCCACCCCATCTATAGATAAAGTTTTTATTGCCGTTTCAAACACTTTTATTCAAATTAATTTTTATATCATTAAATCTGCTTATAATGTTATTGAAAAGCAAGAGAATAACTCCATCTCACCTATTCAGACCAAGAATTGCACTGGGTGCTCTTCATTTGCGATGAGCACTGTGCTCATCACGTCAAAAGGAATCTTGGTCCTCTGTTTCAATCATATTTAATATCTATCGTTTATTTAAATTAATTTTTAAATATTTTTGATATTATATTTATTAATATAAAAAATTTTAAAATTTTAATATATCTATTTATTATCAATCTGATCAATATAAATTTAATTTAATAATTTAATTTAATATTAAAAAATTATAATTTTATAATTTGATTATACAATTAGACTCTATCGAATTCAAGTATAATTTAAATTATCTAATTTAATATTAAAAATCTCATAAATTTTATAAATTAATTATTTAAATGTATTTTAAATAGTCTAAATTTAATATTAAATTTTTTATATTTTTTATTTTAATAAATGTAATATTAAAAATATTTAAAAAAATTAATTTAAATGGATGATAAGGATTAAATAAGACTGAAATGAAAGGTTATAATTGTTCCCAGCTTGATGAGCGTTGAATGTGACGCTTCGGACAATACCTAGAAGTAGCTTACTTATGACATACTCAAAACCTTCAGCTAAAAAACATCTGTAGGCTATGTTTGGTAGAATAATTAATTTTAGAGATAGGTTTGGTAAGAATGCTGAATTTTAAAGAAGCATGAATAAGATTGCAGGAATATGAATGATTTGTTTTTCCAAACGTGGGGAAATGGTTGAACAATATTTACTTGATTTAGATTATTTCTCAAGATAATGTGTTTATTTTGTATTTATCCCATTTATCTTAAAATCTGTTGCATTATTAATTTATTATAGCAAAGAAAGATATCTAAACATATCAAGATTAACTTTGTTGTTCTGGCCAAAAGATTATATTTGTTTTCTTTCTTTTTATTTATATTTTAAGACTATGATTATGATTTAAATTATTATTTTTAATATTGTTATGACTATATAAATAATTCAAAGATTTCTCATTATAAATAAATATTGATTGATTAATAAAGATTTGCGTATTTTTCACCCTTCTCCTTTCCCTTCTTATTTCACATCACACTGAAACGAGTGATAACAACATTTTAAAAAATATGAGGCGCATTCATTCACAAAATTTGCCTTAGTCTCGAAGAACATGATAGAAGCCAGAAAAAGCTTTACGTGATTAAATTGACCTTGTAAACTAATTATGTAGTGTTTGAACTATGGATAAAGCTGAGACACCCATGGCTAATGATCATTGGGTAGAACTTAAAAAATAAAATAAAATAATCTAATGGAAACTTCACCCAAATCAATCCAGTGGGCTTTTGGTGGTCTTGTCTTCGTGTCCAAGGCAAAAAAAAAAAAAAGCCAATGAATGATCAGAAATGTTCACATTTCCAACTATAAATTTAATTGTCAACCAGAATGGCCCAAACATGTTTCTTTTTTCACTCATTTTCCATAAAGAATCAGGAAGCCTGCCTCCTTTCCTGGAATGAAATACAAAAAGTAAAACCAAGATGTTCACCATCATTTTTTTTTTCCATAAGAAGTTTTTGAAATCATTAACCTTGCGGATGTAACATGCTTTTATTCACCGATTAAATCTTTTATAATTATATAGTTATGTACTCCTTTCGTTTAAAAATATAAGACATTTTTAATCGAATCTTACCTCTCAATAAAATTGTTACCTACTTTCAAACTAACTTTATCTTTTCATATTTACTCCTATTAAACACCCTATAATAAATATAAAGTCATTATCAATGGGGACATTTTTAAAGAAAAAAAAAGCAATAATTACATCTCAAAAAACTAAAAATGCCTTATATTTTTAAACATCTAACCCTTCAAAAATGCCTTATATTTTTAAATGGATGGAAGTATTTGATAATGAAAGTGACATGAACAAGTATATGCTTTCTTATATGGAAAAATTGTCACAAAAAAAAAAACTTGACTGGATTTCATTTTGCTGAGAAAGACTCGAGACATTAAGCCCTTCATTGGCATTAATTCGGAGCTCCAAATGATCATATTACCCTTATAATTAAAAAATATAAGTTAAGCAAGGTTCTTTACTATCAATATGCTACACAAGGTTTGTCGTTGTCAATAAGTTACAATATCATTCATTGTCAATAATACGATGACAATATGCAAAATATGGTCATTCTGTGTCAATATGTTAAACAAATCCATCAATGTTAATATGTCAAGTAACATATAAATTTTTAGGATATCTAAAATAGTTATTCAAATAAATGAAAGAAAATTTATATTTTGTTAAAGGGTGGTTGCATATAATGAAAGAAAGATTGCATACGAATGAAGATACTTGCATATGATCCTAAAACATGATATTAAGTATAAATTTTCAAAAACATCCAAAATGTTATTTGAATAAATGAAAGAAAAATTATATTTTCTTGAAGAGTGGCTATACTTGTATATGATTCATTGTTTTTGATACCAAGTATAAATTTTTAAGATATCTAAAATAGTTTTTTAAGTAAATGGAAGAAAAACTATATTTCCTTAAAGGGTGGTTGCATATCTTAAAAAATGGTCTCATATAGTTGAAGATACTTGTATATGGTTTTAAAATGTGACACTAAGTGCAATTTTTTAAAATATCTAAAATAATTATTCAAATAAATGAAAGATAAATTAAATTTCTTTGAGGGGTAGTCACATATCGTGAAAAAAAAGTTGCATATAGTCAAAGATACCTGCATATGATCTTAAAACATGATATTAAGTATAAATTTTTAGGATTT